TAAACTACTGTAAATACCGGTATTTTTCTTCAATCAGCTGGAGTAGGGAGTCGACGGCGGTAGGAGTGGCGGTGGCAGTGGCAGCAGAACAGCAACGACGGCGAGGCAAGGAGAAGCGGCGTCTCTCTCTCTTCTTCTCTCTCTCGCACTCTGTTTTCCTTTCCCAGGGCTCGCCTTCTACTCTACCTGCGTATATAGAGGGAATTTTGAAATGATTTTTTTTTTTCAACTTACTAACCAAAACGACGTCGTTTTGGTTAGTTTGCATTTCAGCCGTTGGATTGGATCACTCTAGGATTTAACTCTAGAGGATCTTGATGCCAAAGTCAGAGACCATTGCCCTCTAGTGCTATGTGTATTTGGGAAAAAGGGGTCAAAATAGGGAAAATGTTTGGGAGCTCTAGAGGGTAGCTCTAGGAGTTCTAATGGGATAGGTCCTGATGTGATGTTTGTGTCTTGTTTTATTATTATTATTATTGCCAAATGTATAGAGTGTTTTTTAGAACTCTATAATTAGAGGATGCATCACTGGCGGTCAAAATAGCCCCCAAACAGAAGAAGAAAAAAATTAAAATTAAAAAGTCAACCCAGCCAATTTACGTAAACCCTATTTCGGAAGGTTTGTTCGGGCTGTAGGGATTTAGTCTGGTGCACATAAGTTGGCCCAGGATACCCTACAAAATCAAAAAAAAAAAAGTGACATGGCAGACACAGACTGATGGAGACAGCGGGCAAAATGACATGTTTACCAACATTTTTACTCCTATTTTTGTAGGCCTATTTGGAAATTTTAACTATTTTTATAGGAATATTTTTGCCATTTCATATCTTAACATCATTTCAAATAAGTTATTCAATATAAAAATTCAACCAAAAAAAAAAAAGAGTTAACTAATCTTTTTAAACATAAAAATTAAAATAATCTTTTAAAAAAGTTTAAATATAAAAATAATTAAAAAAATAGTCACTTCCCAAACATTGGGGGTGTTTGTTTCAGCTTCTCAAAGCTAACTTATGGCTTTTAGCTTTGAAAAAGTTATTTTGGACTGTTTGGTTAAACTTATTTCAAACAGCTTCTGATTCTAACAGCTTATTTTAACTCAAAAAAGCTAATTCTGAGAAGCTGCACACCCCTTGTTTCTGATTATCAGCTTCTGCTGTGGACATATTAATTTATAGTTATACTCTTAAATTTTTTTATTTTTTATTTTTTTAAAAATAAAAAAAGACCCAAATAGACTATAGATTATTATTATTATTTTTTATGAGAAATGTAGACAAACAAAAAATAAAAATTAATTGAAAAAGTTATTTCACAACTTATTTAACAAATACTACTCAGCAACTTAAATCTATAATTCAACAGTTACATCAAACAGATTAACAATTTCTGATTAAAGTCATAATCTATAATCTGTTAAGTTATAATCTATAAGCTATTTTAACAGCTACACCAAACGGGGCCATTGCAACACTCCAGAGAAATATAGGTCTGGGTCCTTTCTTTTAAAACATTGGTCCGGCCTGCGTATGGGCTTGGACCCAAGCACGAGTCTAAAGAACTGCCCAAGCCCAACTCAACCTGAGAACCAGCTAGAGCCTAAGGGGTATAGAACTCCATTGTGGTTGTTTGTTCGTTCTTAAAAAGTAATATAAATTAAAGGGTGAATTACACTAACAGTCCTTATAGTTTGGAATTTGTGTCATTTTAGTCTCTGACTTTTTAATTGTGACACATTTGACCCTGAATTTTGAATCTTGTTCCAAATAAAGACAATTGTAGATACTATTGTCAATTTTATCTTTAGATTTTTCAAGGGCAAAATTGTCAATTTGATAAAATATAAATTAATATGACAAAAATAAATGTCAAAAAATTATTTTTGAATTTTTAAAAATTATTTCTAACTACTAAAGATAAAATTGATAAATCTTTTAGACATTTATTTATTTTTTTTACCAAATTGATTTTTATTATGTATTTGGATGATGATCATGTAAAATTAATTTTTAAAAATTAATCATGTAATTTTTATTAATTTTTATCAATTTTACATAATTTTATTTTTGGTGGGTAGAAATAATTTTTAAAAAATTTTAAAATAATTTTTTGACATTATTTTTGTCAAATTAATTTATATTTTATTAAATTGACGATTTTGCCCTTGAAATTAAGCAATGGTATGTTCAATTGTCCTTATTTGGAACAAGATTCAAAATTCATAGTCAAATTTGTTACAATTGAAAAGCCAGGGACTAAAGTGACACAAGTTCCAAACTACAGGGACTGTTAGTGTAATTTATCCTAAATTAAACGAAGGTTTTTGAAAAAATATATTACAGACGTTTAGGGATAGATTATTTTAATCTAAAAATCTAAAAGTTACTAAACGTATAAGTTATCATATCATTTTTTTTATTTTTCTACATTTTTTTTTATTAGAAGTTAAAAAAGCAATTAAAATATCCAATACCCAAACCATCCTTATAAATTTAACTTAATTACATTGATATTTCTTTTAGTAAAATTATACAAAAATAAATAAAGTACAATATAAATTTTAATGATAATTATATTATTTTTCTATCTAAATGACTAATAAATAAATAAAGATAAGGACTAAGTGTCATATGAATCGACATTTTAATACACTATAATTATGCAAAGATTGAAGGGCTCAATGTATGTCCTTCAAACAGCAAAGGAGCTTAGAACACAGAATTGAGTACAAAACATGAATGGATGGATCAAATTTATTAAAAGTAGTCCCCACCAAAAAAATTATGTCAAAATCTTTTTCATTCCAATCATTTATATATTTTTTGTATTTCTTTCTATGTTTGGATTTTATATTTGTAAAAAGGTTTCAAGAACTAGGTGATAAAAGATAAAACGAGTTTCTAGATTCAGACGGTCTCCAATTTAGATCTCGAATAGTTTGGTTCAGTTTAGTTCATTGGGTCCACTTTTGGGCCCTTTTTGATAATCAAAATTTTTATATTTTAAGATTTGTTGAGTACATTATTCTTGTAAAAAATCATGCCAATTGGATAATGGATATTATGTATTCGGATCACTTTTTTATGAACCGTTAATTTTCTGACCGTTCATTTTTTTCAGACAAAAGTGACCCGAATACATAATATCCATTATCTGATCAATATGATTTTTTACAGGGATAATGCACTCAACAAATTCTAAAATGTGAACGGTTCAGATTATAAAAAATGTATTAAAAAACGTGCTCAATGAGCTGGATTGGACTCTCGAGTTAAAAAAACGAGCTTAATAAACCGGATTGGACTCTCGAGTCCAGATGGTGGGCTGGAGGCAAGCCCCAGCCATTTAGCAAATATGAATCCAATGCAGTCACGGTTTCTTTCTCTTCATTTTTAATGGACGTTTATCCACTATTTTAATTTGGTAAATTGTCACAAAAAAAAAATCAGTACACATATAGATTAAATAATAATAACAAAAAATATGCATGTTATTTGTAAGTTTGATTGTCACAAATGGTATAACTTGATATTATGAAAGTCATAACTAAAATAAAAAAAAAAAAACAATTTTTTTTTTTGGACCAATCCGGGGCCGACACCTCACTGGGGGTCGACCCCCAGTGGGGGTATGAAGCTTTTTTCATACATTAAATAATAATAACAAAAAATATGCATGTTATTTGTAAGTTTGATTGTCACAAATGGTATAACTTGATATTATGAAAGTCATAACTAAAATAAAAAATAAGTTATAATAAAAAATTACATAAGTGTAACAAACAATACTTAGATCATAATTCCAAAATAATATCATAATTAATATCAAAATGAATTATAACTAATAATATAATATATCATAAATAAAAACACAAATATCATAACTAAAGGTATATATGATACAATGCCTACATCGAATTTCTTAACACTTCTTCCGTCTCAAAATATTAGTCCCTTATTCTATTTTTTATTGTCTCAAAATATTAGTCTATTTTTAAAAATTAACGAATAAAATAATATGAATTTACTATTTTGTCATTTTTTAAAATTCATTAATAACACAAAAAGTACAATTATAAAAATTGATATTTTCAAAAATTGTATTATTAAAAGATAATTTTAAAAAAAATAATAAATTTAAAATGTAATAACTGTACTATTAAAAAATTAAAATTCCTTAAAATGGACAATTATTTTAAAACAGAGAAATAACAATAATGATTATGACAGTGATGAATATCTGATACAGTGTACTTGTGAAAACAAACGTCCATACTGTTTTGTTGTGTTTTGTTTTTTTCTCAAATATTGGATCAACACATCATGTAATTCTGTAATCAAATTGTATTCTTAGATTTACTTTTTTGAAATAAATAAAAAGTAATCGACCACAATCATGTTTCCATGCACATCAAAATTAAATTTGAGTACAAATTATTGTGATATTTGATGATGTGATTATAGTGTTAAAAAACTGTCAAAATTAAAATTAATTCCGACTTATTACTATTATAATATTTAATAATGTTTCAAAATAGCGTTGGTTAGGTTTTGTTATGGGTTTCTTCATGTCTGTTTTTTAAGTTATTGATCTTTAATTACATAACAACAGCCACAAAAAAAAAAATCAGGATTATAATAACAGTATTAGTAGGTATCATGAAAAAAAATTTATGAAAATAATTATGAAAATTTTATGATCTTTGAATTACACTTAGAATAAAACATCACACACTAATCAAGATAATTCAAGAATCATAACTCTTTCATAATCATTATCATGAAAAAAATTTCACAATCCCCGACATTTCTCAATAACAAAACTTGAAACTTAGCTAGCTTATTAGACCCTGATTATTATTCATTAGTTTTAAGCACTTGAAACACACGATAGACAGTACATGGTTCTCATCACAGACAATCCACATGAAAACCATAAGAGTAAAACTCGAAACTACAAACTACACCACAGAGCAAAGAGCCCTAAGGCTCAACAACCACTAAAGATGGAGAGAGAGCATGTAGTATGGCGGCGGAGGCTTTCCATACGGACTCAACGGAGGCGGCGGCTGCTTCCCTTTCGGCGGCAAATATGGAGTCTGCGGTGGAGGATGTTGAGGAGACGGCGGTGTCCTACTAGGTGGTGACGGCGGCAAATATGGAGTCGGTGGCGGCTGAGGGTACTTAGGAGAGGGCGGTGGGTACGTGGAGGGCGGAGGATGCCCATAAGAAGGCGGCGGATAGTGGTGAGACGGTGGCTTGTGGCCATGAGAAGGTGGGTTGTGGTGGTGGTGGTGAGGTGGCGGGGTTTTGTGTTTGGGCGGAGGGTAGCCACCATGAGTCGGTGGTTGACAATCGTGAGAGGGTGGTGGATACCCATGAGAGGGCGGCGGGTACACATGAGAGGGTGGTGGTGGGTACTTTGGAGAAGGTGGGTTGTAATCATGAGAGGGCGGCGGATACCCATGAGAAGGTGGTTGGTACCCATGAGAGGGTGGCGGTGGGTACTTTGGAGAAGGTGGCTGGTATCCATGAGAGGGTGGTGGATACCCACGAGAGGGCGGCGGATACCCATGAGAGGGTGGTGGGTACTTTGGAGATGGTGGCTGGTATCCATGAGAGGGCGGTGGATACCCATGAGAGGGCGGCGAATACCCATGAGAGGGTGGTGGGTACTTTGGAGATGGTGGTGGGTACTTTGGAGGAGGAGGTAGATAGTGTGGTGGTGGTTTATAAGGTGTTAAGGGTGTCCCACCAGGTGGTGAATATCCCCCACCACCACCACCACCACCACCACCATAACCATAATGGCTTCCAGGATCTCTGACAACCGCGGCAGATGTAGTGGCGGTGGTGGTTAGATTCACAACCACTACCAGAAGGAAAAAGAGAACTGTTGAAGAAGTGTAGTGGTTCATCAACTTCATTGTAACCTAGTAAAAACTATCATTAAGAGGATATGATTGATAGAGTGGATGGGGATAAGTCATGAAACTTTGAAGGGCTATATATAGAGAGTTTTGGTATTTATGTCATTCTGATCAAATACGTCCAACCATAGAGTTGTTTGAAAATAATTGTAACTTTGTAAGACCACCAGAAACTAAGGTGTAGGCTGGGTATGCTCTACCGCATGAAAAGTGAGAAGGTGGTGCACATGCAAAGCTTCCACGTTTGGATTATTTGAATCTGGCACCTTCATTGACGTCACCAACTTCAAAACTCTATCACCACACATATATTGATCATAAAATTCAATATATGTTATTTATGCATATTTTTTAGTTGAAAATAAGATGTATGATACAAACTTAAAATTAAATGATACGTCGGTCATATCTCGACTAATCATAGTTTATAAAAGTATATATTTCTTGCTAATTTTCTAAGTAAATTTTATAACTATGTAGGGTTATTTTGGAAAGTTAGTTAAAAGTTGAATTTTTTATTTTATATTTTTTGTTTTTTTGTTGAAAAATGTCTAAAAAAGTAAAAGTGATGTAACTCAAAACTCAAAAATAGATTAAAAGTTAAAAAGTAATTTTTTACAATCTTTTCAAAAGAGGCCTAATACTTATCTTTACACTAGAGGTAAAAATATAAAACAAATCAAACCATTTAAACTCAACTTAAATTTCATATTAAAATTTTCGTTTGAGATCGGTTTATTTTATAAATATATTAAATTTGAAGACATTTTAAAGATAATAAAGTCTTTTTAAGTCAATATTGATAACCTACTAGTTATAACAAATACCAAACTACTCAACTCAGTAGGCTTAAAAATGGTTGGGCGTGCCGTGCCTATGGGTTGCCCACACTATTCAACGCATCGAAATGCCAATGATCTGTAAGGGAACGTGATTTTCAAAAATGCTAGCCCCAAAAATTCTACTAAAAGTTTTACCAAATGTCTCATATGGGTGTGGGACCCACATGGGACCCACATTGTGTGGGTCCCACACCCATGTGAGACATTTGGTAAAACTTTTGGTAGAATATTTGGGGTCTCCAGCATTACTCCGTGATTTTAGACCGCGTCATATTCAATTCATTAAAACTCATTAAGTTTTCAAACTGAACTTCAACAACATAACTACTCAACTCATTAAGTTTCCTTTAGAAACATGTTACTTTAGTAATTTTTTGACTTTTTAGCTAAAATATAAGATAAAAAAATTAATATGTTTAAAATAATTTTTAAATTTTTTACGAAAATATGTGTAAAAATAGAGAGAAAAATAAATCTTTGACTTTTTTATATAATTTTTAGATTTTTTAATTTTTTAATAATTTTTTGACTTTTAAACTAAAATATAATGTTAATTTACAATCCTATATATAGGTGGAAAAAACATCCCATAAATCAATTTTACTTGAACACTATTTCATACTTAATTCAACATCATACATTTTAATTTTCAACTACTTCCACAAATCAATTTTATTTGAAGTAAAACTCTATTTCATCCTTAAGTCAACAGCATACATTTTAATTTTCAACAACTCTGGAGTGAGTTTTTGGGGTAAATAATTTCTCACACTTTCTAAAACTATCCGAGACCTTGGACTTTGTGACCCAAAAGTTTTTGCTTATATGAAAAAACAGAAGTAAAGAGTTGCATGAAAGTTTTTGACTTAGAAGTGTGTGTATGCGTCTGTATACATCATGGAGGGGGGGCCTGAGTGCAACCAAGGCCTCAAAATGGAATGCCACACAGAGGTTGTGCAGTCACCCTCCCATACCCTATTTTGATATCGAGTCAGTCCATTGTTTGCAGTGTTCTGATCGACATAGGATTGTCTTCAAGATGGTGATTAAGTGTTAAAAGTGACTTGTCAAGGGTTTAGAATTGAAATTATTGTGTGAAACGAGAGTAAATAAATATCCAATATTACTGTAATATCACATAACATAATAGTATTACCATCCTAACATGATTTGGTTTGATTAATAAGGGACCAGCCTAGTCCATCTAATCTCTTTCTTTTTTTTTTTAAATCGACAACACTGACCGCAATTTGAGAGAATTTATCCTTATGTTTGCCTTCAGAGTATCTTGAAGACCCTTGGTCAATATAATTACCAGGAGTTCATGTTATCAGTTACGTCACAAAAGTTGGGATCACTTTTACACTCAAAACAACTTGCACTCGGGGCTTGTTTGGTAGAATTTTTTTTCAACTTATTTTAACTTTTAACTTAATTTAAACTATTTTATTGTGTTTGATGTAACTTAAGAATACAGATTATAACTTTTTTTAAATCAAAAATCAACTTTTATGAGAGTGTTTTTTTTAATCTACTTAAGCGGCAAGTGGGAATGGAGGGACAAAATTACTTAAATGCCCCTCATCAATTTCAACAATTGCCAAAACACCACATCAACAATTGCGATTTTCGGCGAGCTCTCTCTCTCTCTCTCTCATGATCTGACGATGGGACTGTCGGCTAGGGTTTTGCAAGCGATCCAGAGCTAGCTCTCTCTCTCTCTCTCTCTTCACGATCGCAGTAGATCTCTCTCTCCGCCGTATCTGCGATCGATCTAAAACCCTAGCGCCCCGTCGTCACGATCCCTTCCATGCCGTCACGATCTCCCTTCCGCCGTTGAGATCACAAACCCTAGCGCCCCGTCGCCATTGTGCATACTACCGGGGTTGCCAGAGAAGAAGGGTTGTCAGTATTTTTTTAATAATAATAATAATAAATTTTATATTAATTAATACCAACTAATAATTTTAGTATTAATTAATACTAATTAAGCTATTAATTGATAATAAATTAAATTATAAAATATTAATAAATTGATATATTTTGTAACAATTTTGTAAAAATAAATTAAAAAAATATTGATTGGTATTTGTAACAATTTTTAATAAATTAAAAAAATATCAATTAGCATTCATCTATTTATAAACTAAAATGAATATAATTTGAAAATTTTAATTAGTATTTCGACATTTTTCTAAATTTTAATCTTACCATGCACCACTTCTGATTTGAAAAAATAAACTATAAACTAAAGAAAATAAAATAAAAAGAAAAAAAAATTAAGAGAAGAAAAGAAAAAATAAATAAAAACAAGGAAAAAAAATTATTAATATTAATTAATACTAATTAATAATTTTAATATTAATTGAGACTAATTAAGTCATTAACTGCCATTAATTGATACTAATTAAGCAATTAATTGATACTAATTAATTTATAATGAAAAAAATTATTACAATAATACTTCCATTACATTTTTATCAAATGTATCAATTTTTATATAAATTGATACGAATTATGTTAACTTTTATTAATGAAATAATTTTTTTAAAATAAATTGAAAAAAAAAAGAGACAAAATTATCATTTTTATATCATATAAGGGCAAAAATAACAATTACAGAAAAAAAAGCTATTTTACAGCTTATCAACCAAACACTACTCTGTTGCTTAAATCCATAATCTCACAACTGCACCAAACAAATTAACACCTTATAGGTGTGTTTGATTGGGTGGATTAGAGCATGTGATTAAGATTATTAATTCGTGTGTCCAATTATCCTATATTTGTTTTAACATTTTAGTTTAAGATTATTAATCCAATGAATAATTAATCTAACAAATTTGTAAAATTATTAGTAATGGAATAGGGGTAAGATTATTAATCTAATGGATATTAATCCAATTGAATAGTGAATATCACACTAATTTAATAAGATTATTAATACTTCACTATTAATCTTGTGAATCAAACATGACCTATGTTCACAGCTATAAGTTATAATCTATTATCACTTTCTCACAGCTCTACCAAACGAGGCCTAAGTTCAGCCGTTGCACAATGATTTTGGGTAAACCTAACAGTCAGTCATCACCACCAATCTTTGATGTACCTAATAACAAAAACCAAACTGTCCTATACTCCATTTCATGAACTTGTGTATTCAAGTTTGAGTTTATCACGTGAGTGCCTAACAGGATGAGTGACAATCAGACTTGCACATGTCGGGCTCTCATGAATTCAAGCCATCTTTAATTTTCCGGTACAACAAAACCCTCACCAAGAAACACCACCTCCCAACAAAAAGAAATAGGCAGCTTTAAAACTTATGTTCAATGCGTTCACAAGTAAACCATCAATTGGGGGATCCATTACAATAACTTGTGAAGAAAAGAAATCTTAAAAATGGTTTCTACAATCTATAAGTGCAGAGCAATTTACAATAGAAAATAAATCAGATGGCCACTGTAAATTGCACTGGTTTAAAAAAAAAAAATTAAAGGATGGAACACTATCGGCACTTGTGGACACCCCCAGAAAACAGTTGCTGCCAAATCAAGAGGTTGCTAAACTTTCACCCTAAAACACAATACTTCAGCAAAATGTTTAATGCCCTTCTACATGGATAACACAACAATACGCCATCCGAGCCAGCATCTTTAAGTGTTCCTCCCCAACTCACAAATGGGCAGGAAAACTGCAGCATAGAGAGGTACAACAATTCATGGAGATTAAGGATTAGCCATGCAGAATTCAGAAACACAAGAATGTTAAAAAGAAAATTAATAGTGATCTCGTGTTATTACACACAAAAAGTGCATTTGTGGATACCGTTTGGCACAAGGAGTCCATTCTCAATCCCCTCCAATGACATTCTATGGAAAATGGAAAAAACAATCTGTGAACATCCATCTTTTAGATTTGTTTTACGTTTTCATATGAGCAATTGAGGTACAAAGAGATATTTTTTCCCACTCATATTTCTGATTCCATACCAAGGAGATTATATCCTGCATCATTTCATAAATGAAATGACATTGTATTTAACAAGGAAGCTAATTATGCTAGGCTAACGACGCTACTGCATTTATTTTAGATAACCAGATATTTTTGTACTTTCTGTGAAAACCTTGAAGTATTGCAAGCATAATATGTTTGCTTTTTAGCGTTTTCTGCAAGAAGGCAAAAGAATGTTTGGCAGGCGAAGGCTGCTATCTGAAAAATGGTACTCAATTAAATACAAAAAGCAAGTAATGCAGCTGATGGAGATAGCAATGGTGGTTCTTGTAAAATATCTTATGTTATTTAGTTTAACATTTGAGGTAGTTTAGTCTTACTCATGTCACAAGGTTTTAATAAACCTAAGGGGGTGTTAATGTAATTTTCCCATAAAATTAAGATTCAAAATTCACTCTATGAAGCAACCAAACCAGAGCAAACATCTTGTAGAATAACACAGAAAAATTGGTTCGTGTTTGCATGGGAGAAGAAATCACCACTAGTTATATAAATACCAAGGTGATAGAAAATAGGCAAATCATGAAACTGACCTTAGAAATTCAGAATCAAGACTGCAGTTCTCACATCTTTGTTCATTAGAACCTATGCTTTTTGTCCGATGGCTTCAAAATCTGGAAAGAGCACATTAAGCTTTCATCAACACTCATCATTGCACCAGCATTATCAAATTCACCGCAATAATTTGGGGCAGAGAATATCGTAACAAGCATTCTGTCAGCAAAGAACTCATACCCATCCTCCACAACCTGCCCAAGAGACATTCGTGTTAACAGCATGAGTAGTCACTCAAAATAAATGTAAGTGAATGTCAATAACCTGATGGGCACGACAAACAAGGTCCATATCGTGCTGAATTAAAAATTCTGCCACCTTATCAGGGCCAAAGGTGTACGAAACTCCTCTATCATTGATTCCCCAACCTTTGACCTCCCTACTAGGATCTGACCAGAGTAAATCACAGAGCAAACCGGAGTCTGGAACATCAGTTGGACGAGGTAAGTTTCTTATCTCATCCAAGTTTGTTAGTTCAGGGGAAAGGCCACCATGCATGCAAAATATTTTGTCGTCTATGAGAGCAGCCACAGGAAGACAGTTAAAACACTCAGTAAAGATTCTCCAGAGTCTCACATTAAACCGCCGCTTACATTCATCATAAAATCCATATATCCGGTTAATAGAAGCACATTCATGATTTCCCCTTAAAAGGAAGAAGTTCTCAGGGTATTTAATTTTATAGGCAAGCAGAAGGCATATTGTTTCCAAACTCTGCTTGCCACGGTCCACATAGTCCCCTAGGAACAAGTAGTTAGCTTCAGGAGGAAAACCCCCATATTCAAAAAGCCTCAAAAGATCACCATATTGCCCATGAATATCACCTGCCATTCCAGGAAAAAAAATGTTTAAAAAAACAATAAATAGAGCTTAAAATCTAACAAAATTACATACATGAGATAAGCATAACTTTATTTGAATTTGCATCATGGAAGCCTTTTGATACACAAGCAGAAAAACAAATTCTGCAAACTGACTTCAAATGCTTCTAGAGCAAAAATAAACATTCTACTAAAGGTATAGCAAGATCGGGAATTTGAGTTTATTAATAATTACCTTCGATAAGTACCTTACATTTACAAAAATTACTTTCTGAATATGAATAATGACCTCATTCATGTCCCTTGACAACTCATTCCACAACTTTAATAGCTCTTTCTCCCTGTCTAACATTCTGAGTGTTTTGGGTTCATCTCATTAGTGTGCTTATTTAAGCCCCAACCCAAAATCCAAGACATCACTAGGCCCCACTTTGTTCTATTTTATATCTTGATAAGTTAGCCCCACTTTAATGTTGCTATTTTAAAAAGAAGTTTAGAAGTACATTTCTTACTTCTAGTTAACAATAAATATTTTTACCGTTTATGAAATTTTACTAAAAGAAGATTATCCCATAAAAGTTATAACTCATGTTAAAAAGTATCATGATATAAAAAGAGAATGTTCCACCTTCGTGATGGATGAGTTCAAGATATATCATCTCAATTCAACAGTTAAAAAAAAAACGGATCATACAATGTGAGAAGAGCAACAACAAAATCTAAATTCAAAAAAAAATTAAAAAAAATGGAGGTCGCTCACCGTGACAATGAGATAGTGTCACCATCATTTAAACATGAATTTTTGTTCTTAATTCCTATTCATCGCTTCATAATCTTCTAGATTTCCACAATTATCCTTTGATAAGATTATCATTTAATCGTGTAGTTTTTGTGTGTGTGTGTCCCCATGTGGTGGGGATTTATATTCCTAATTGAAAACTTTTGAGTTTTGTATTTGTTCCAATGAAACCAAATTCATATCCATGAAATTCCCTATTTAGTATGCATCACAAAAGTGCGTATAGAAAACTAAAAGCAGCTAAGGAGATGTAGCGTCAGGTTCATGTTAATGCCGTAACACCTTTTTAACCTCTACAAATGACAAATGACAAAACTGGAAGGAGCAAAAAACAAAGATGACAAAAAAAATTAGTTCAATTTTCAAGAATAACACAACGAATAGACTACAAAATATTGACAATTACATAAATTAAATTAATATTAATTAAATATATAAGTAAAAAAAATTCTGACCCCTAAGAGAACTTTGATCAACCCTTACTGATGAACTCAATTGTTCTGCAAACAATAGTTATTAAATAAATTCTTACGCGAAGGACTTCAGCTCACAACAGTCACTTGGTCCACCAAGCATATCCAGATAGTATATACCCGTTCAAACCCCAAAAGTGGACCCAACATTTTGATTCCTCTTTCCAAAGGCCACAAACCTATGGAGAACAAAAGTGAGAAGGGTACCGACTAACCATTACTTATTTGGGTACAATTGACCTGTTCAAAACTTTAAACTGCCCTGGTTCTACCACAAATATGAAAGCCAAAATTCCAGAAGATCATCATTTATGTTGATATTGGTTGAAACTTCCGAAACACCAAGCACACCATTCCTCAAATACATAACCCTTTCTGGCAATAAGAAATCTCTATACATCATTTTCAGTTTTTAGTCTTAAAAAAGGATGAGATCGCAAGTAGAAAAAGGATCAAAGTTTGCAAATCACCATGGGAGATCTACTAACCACCCCACCCTGGATGGCAACCATGGCCCCATTTTAATAAGTGCATAATTCTCATTTAAGTAGTATTCTTCAACACGCTGTCAGTAGTTTCTAAGAAAATGTTGTTCTATAGACGCAGGGCCTCCCAGATTCACATTAGTTGCCTTGCCTCTTTGACTCCCAAAACCAAAGAAAATGATAAAATAAAATGGAAGATACGTGACATGGTATGCAAATCAACATCCAAAAAAAATGACATATAGGATAAAGATGCATACATAAGCATCATGGTGGGCCACACTGCTTAAAAAAAGAAAGGATGAGCCATGTTGTTGGACTTAAAAAGTATTTACAACATCATATTTAAAATGGTCAACTAAATAATCTGACAGAGAATATCCTCAATGTAAGCCGCATGAGGTGGCACAAGTGGGCATTAAGATCAGGGTTCCCCACCCCTCTCCAGTGACACAATTGAGTCCATTCACAATCTTAAACAATACAAAAATTTAAATAAAATAAAAACATTATACAAAATGCAATAAAAAATTAGATCATGACTCTTTTCATGTGGGGCCATATTGCATCATCCATCTGTTTGCTTCTACCCACTGTATGCATTGTAACTCTTGTATCTTATGAAAAAATCTTGTACAAAGTGGGTATAGCTAGACATTTACTGGCTGTTTTTAGCAACTCCCAGCTCCAGAGGACAGCATAGTGTCCCATCCCCTCCTTTACCTGGAAGTGCAAGAGAATAAGTTAAACCTTCAATCCTGCATCTTGAAGCCTTGCTCCTGCTCTATGTATTCCCCTTTGTTGCCTAACCTTCTTTAGATACTTCATATTTTGGTTTAATGATTACATCCATGTAACCATACTTCTTAGTAATTGCACGAAAAATAGTGTTAATTTACTCTTGGAATGACTCAAATGGGCATCCTTTAAGAGTTTGATGCATTCTGTAATCGTTCTCATAAATCATAACTCAATCATAAATCTAATTGCTACAATTAAGCAAGTTACCCAATCAAATCATTGTAAAAGAAATAGGGTATTCCTCAACAAAAACAGTCTTTAACGATCGCACTTTTCCTAACCATATAACCAGAATAGTTGACCCTCAAGTGTAGATGTATTCAACTCCAACAGCAAATTCAGGATACTTTCCATCTCATAAACCATAAGTCACTGAAGCAAGATAAAACACCATCCACTAGGCAGCAAAAGTTGCATTCATCCTTGAGACTAAATTTCATGGTAAGAACTCAGAAGTATCAGATAGGCTGAATATGGGATGAATAAAAGTCTCGCATTACTCAATTTTATTTGTAAGTTATTTGTAAGTCAAAATTTATTCTTTCCCCAAAATTTAAAATTAATAGAATAATGAGAATAAATCAATAAAATGGACAAAGAAGCGAGACCAAAACTTATCGACAACTTGTCCCCAACGTTATCCACAACTCCTCTAAATCCTATTCAAAAACAGACCAAAAACAAAAACAATTACGCATATATGTAGCATATATGTATGTGTGTAACCAAGATAAGAACAACCCACAAACAAACAAAAATCTTACAAACCCAAAACCAACAGCAAACAGATACAGAGTTACATAACATAAACAAAGAAAAAGATGAAACTTTTACCGCAGATCTTGATGGGGGCTTCGAGCTCTAAGAGATTGGGTTGCTGGAGGAAGATTTCTCTCGAAACGGTGCAAAGCTGACGGATCTCAGCCTCGGAGAGCTGGACCTGGACCTGGACCTGGCGTACACTCCTCGCTTGCCGAAACTCCAAAAGCCGATTTATAATGTCATCAAGAACAGCAGGGTCCATCCCCTGCCCATTTTGCGCCATCAAACCTCTCTCTCTCCCTCCCTCCCTCTTCAATTAATTCTTAGGGTTTCACAAAAAAAAAAAAAAAAAAACCCTAGATTCCCAAACACAACGAGAAACAAGGGGGAACAAAATATCCCTAGCTGTTTCTCTGCTGGGACTCAATCTTTTTCTCTTCTTTCTTCAAATCTCTATGTTTTGGGTGTTGGATTAACAGTGTTGCCGTCGGAAACAAAGAGAGGGCATAGAAAGACGAAGTGGGTGTATATATATATATATATATATAGAGAGAGAGAGAGAGAGAGAGAGAGAGAGAGAGAGAGAGATGGATATAGAGACAAGAAGGTACAGATTGGGTCGGGGAGGAAAAGAGAATGGGGAGATGGGTGATGGGTACGAGGACTGCAACTCTGATGTGGCGGAGGAGCCTATAACTATGATCGAAATTCGGCGGAGTCGATGAATCCGCTACCCTCATCTGGTTGTTTCTTATTATATCATTATATGCCCTCGGATAATTTTATTTTTCTTTCCAAATGGCCCCCCTCTTCTCTCCCATTTGCATTTACAATGGAATGCTTTGGGAAGTTGGTAAAAAATTAATTTTTTTAGTTTTTTTAGTTTATTTTATCTTTTTATGAGTAAGTTGTGTAAGAGTCACATGTAACTCAAAATTATTTATTTTGTCTTTTTATGAGTAAATTGTGTGAGAGGTGATGTGACTCAAAATTGGTAAAAAGCTGGAAGCTGACTTTTTACCAACTTTCCAAAAGACGTTAATATTGTGTAGTTTGAATTTAAATTTAACCCAAATGGTTTGAAATTCATTTTGTCGATCGTTTGGTTGGTTATTTAGCCGATCGTCTGGTCAGTCGTTCGATAAGAAGATTAACAACCGCAGTCGATAAGGTGACAACCGTAATAGACAAATATTTTACCCAATTGCCTAGGATGTCATTCGGCCGATCATCCAATAAATATCAATTCGAGACATTCGAGCCCCACTTTTTTTGAATTACAAGGCATTTTTTCTATATCTAATTCCTCATTATTAACTTGATTAATTTTAATAAAATAAATTATAAATATATTCCTTATGATTCCCTTAAAATATAGATCGTTTCTTGTGATTATAAAAATTATATTTTATTCTTTCAAATTTCTAATTACTTCATTTTATCAATAAATTACAAGTCAGTTAATAATTTTTTGTGATATTAAAAATATATTTTAATTAATAATTTAAATAATTTTATTATTATATAGCATAATAATTATATATTTTATTTTTCTATTAATTTTGCTAAATATATATTATTGGCAACGAAATATTTATAATTCCTAAAATCACATGACTAAAACTCATATGGTGCCTCCGTTTGGGAAGTGGGTTGGCTTTTTGGCTTTTTGGCTTTTTTGACTTTTTTTGTGAGAGAAGAATGTAATGATTATGGGTTGGATGTGATGTTTTGTTTGTTATGGCTAAAATAGCCTATTTTGTTTTTTGTGGCTAAAATAGCCAAAAAAGCTTGAAAACCATCTTGCCAAACAGAGGCTAATTTAGATCGTTAGATCATATTGAAAATTAATTTACTAGTCATTTAAATAATAAAAAAAATAGTATGTTTGGTTTCAATTTTTTAAATTCAGTTTTCTAAAAATTGCGTTTTTTATTTTTTTTGTTCTTTGTGAATATTTTAAAAATTTTAAGTAATTTTTTTATTTTTTTAGATATACCTTGCTTAGATATATCTAAATAGTAAAATATTTGTGAAAAAATATTTTAAAGAATTAATAAATACACAAAAATAAAAAAAATGTATTGAATTCTCGTATTTTTTATATATTTTTTGATATTTAGTGTATTTTTTAAAGATTTTTTCCACAAATATTATACTTTTTAAGTGTATTTATGTTAGGTGTGTCTAATTTTTTTTTAAAATGCTTAAAATATTTAAAAAAATCATTGAAAATATTAAAATATGAAAAATAAAAAAGTAGAATTATCTAAAAATTATTTTATGAAAACCATAACTAAACAAGCTGAATACTACCGTTTATTTCTTACTATAAAGTATATTTATCATTATTTATTTGAGTGTCTATCTATATATTAGTTTAAGTATGATAAATTGAAATGAAAGAGAAAAAATGAATTAGTGATTTAATCGCTTTGCTCTTGTATTTGTTATCTTAATTTCTCCTTTTGGAGCATATTAGTTTAATAACTAGTGATCTCTTGTTTTGTTGTTCTTATAAAAAAAACAATTAATTGTTATCTTAATTTCTCCTTTTGGAGCATCTCTAATGAGTTTTCAATGAGCCAATTAGCATCAGTATTATACAGAGATAGCAAATTAGTCAGTGTGTTTAGTTTCAATTTTCTGAATTTATTTTTTTAAAATTAAATTTTTTATTTTTCTTGTTTTTCATTTTTATTTTTAGTGAATACTTTTAAAATTTTAAACAATTTTTTTATTTTTTTAAATGCACCTTACTTAGATATATATCTAAATAGTAAAATATTTGTGAAAAAATATTTTAAAAATTAATAAATATATAAAAATATGAAAAATATATTGAATTTTCGTATTTTTTATATTTTTAGTATTTAGTAAATTTTTTAAAGATTTTTTTCACAAATATTATACTTTTAAGTGTATTTATATTAGGTATGTCTAAAAATTAAAATTATTACTTAAAATATTAAAAAAATCAGTGAAAACAAAAATTACAAGAAATAAAAAAATATTTTTTTAAAAAATAAATTCTAAAAACTGAAATCAAACCAACCGAATAATTTTATTTTCTATCTAATGGGCTAACTATGGCTAGTTATCGTGCATTGCAAAATTAATTTTCATCGAGTCAGATGCTAATTGTAGAGAGCGCAATAGCAAAAAATAGCGAGGGAGAGGTAGGGCTGTTCAAAAATCCGTTCAAATCGGTAATTCGGATCAAACTAGATCGAATCGTACGGTTTGGTTCGGCTCTATTAAGAATTGGTTCGGTTTCGGATTAAGAAATATAAGAACCGTAAAAACGGTTTGGTTAATGGATTTTATGAAAAAACCGCGGTTCAAACCGAACCGAACCGAACCGAATTTTAAAAGATATATATATATAATATCAAGTTTTATTTTTATTAATTGGTTTTTTATAATTTTAATGATATTAGGATGATATAGATATGTAATATTAAGTAATGCCTTAATATTATTAGTTTTTATCATGAGTTAAATGTAATTAGTTTGAGTAATTATTTTGCTAATATTAACAATTTGTTTTTGTAAATAGAAATTTTTGGAACCGTAAACCAAACCGAAACCGAACCCGAACCGTTTTTTCGGTTTGGTTCTGGTCTGGTTTTACAAGTGTAACGGTCTGGTTTGGTTCTCAAAATCACAGAACCGTTAGGATTGGTTCGGTTCTTGGATTTTCTCAAAACCGAACCAATCCGGACCGTGTACACCCCTAGGGGAGGTGATGGCTAGGAATTGGGATCCTCACCTTGCACTCCCTTTTTCCAGGGCTTTCGAGCCTACTTTTAGGTTTGATTTTAATAATTTGAACTGTTCATATTTTAAGATTTATTCAGTATATTATATCTGTAAGAAATCAAGTTGATCGGATATCAGAAAGCATGTGTTCAGAAAACTGTTTATTAAATTCTTTAAAAAAATAGTTTTTAGTTTGATTTTTTCGAACATATGCTTTCTGATATCCGATCAACTTGATTTTTTACAGGTATGATATACTGAATAAATCTTAAAATATGAATAGTTCGGATTATCAAAATTAGACCTAAAAGTGGGCTCGAAGACCCTGCAAGGAGGGAGCGGAAGAGGAGGATCTTGACTCGATGGCTAGAAGATAAGCCCTAGACCATTGTACTTGTTGCCTATATTTTTATTTTTAAATCATAATGGCAATGTATTTTTTAATATATATATATATTATTATTTGATTTACCTATTTATTTATATTATTATTAAAAATGAACACTTCACTTAGTATTTATAAATTTTCTTTTCTCTTTTTTTGTGTAAATTATTCTTGAAAGAAAATAAATAAATAAATTAATTAATTAGTTTTAAATTAATCAAATCCTATCACTAACAAAGACCCTATTAAGAATGATAATTTTGTGGGTGTTCAATATTTGTTATTTATAAATTAGTTTAATTAGGATTCAATATAATAATTATTCTTACTAAATACCTTAGATATGGTATCAATTTTCAGAACCCCTACAAATACACACAAATAAATAAATAAATAAATAAATACAAACAAACAAATCGTGGGCAAACAACCCACAGCTCCTACCAAACCCACAATCTTTTAGAATTTAGGATAGCCATAAAATTTAGGGAAAGCTTGTAAAATTTAGGAAAAACTTGCTCTTAGAAATTGGAGAAAGAGAATGGAATTTTTTTTGAAAAAAAAAAAATGTGTGAGAGAGTGGGAGAGAGAGAGCTAACCTCGGAGGGAGTCTTTAAATTGCATCTAGTAGAGTTCATATTTCTGCACAGAGAGTTCATATTTCTAGACTAAGCATAAACCATTACATCCAAATAGAGGGAATTCTGGTGGAAGAAGAGGAGGAGATTGAGGTTGCATATTTTCCTACCATTTCATTATTCCATTTCAACCCTACCACTAAGTAAGAAAACTCTCTCAACCCTCTCATTTTTTTTATATAATTGAAATTTTTCAGATTATGTACATTTGATACGTTGTCTAAAACTGTGTTGAATCTGCCAGCATTTTTGCCCGAATTTTTAGACAATTTTATACTCAAAATTTCGATATTAATTCTTCTACAAAGTTGTTGATAATTATGTCTAGTTCATCCAGGAATTTTTGCAACAATTTTTGAGCTCTCTACAAATTTATACAAATTTTTAATCAAAACTGAAGCTGTGTTGAGAATAATCTGTTTGAATCTGTCAACCTGTTACCCAAATTTTTATAAAATTTTACACTCAAAATTTCGAGATGATTTCTTCTACAAAGTTATTGATAATGATATCTAGTTTGTCCAGAAATTTTTGGAAACAATTTTTGAGCTCTCTACGAATTTATACAAATTTTTAATCTGAAACTGTGTTGAGAATAATCTGTTTGAATCTGCCAGCATGTTTACCCGAATTTTTAGATAATTTTATACTCAAAATTTAGAGATGATTCCTTCTACAAAGTTGTTGATAATGATGTCTAGTTTATTCAGAAATTTTCAGAAACAATTTTTGAGCTTTCTACGAATTTATACAAATTTTTAACTAAATCTGAAACTGTGTGACAGATTTTACCTTGTATTTGAAAATTTATTTAAAATTCTATACTAAGCCAAATCTGGTAATTTCTAACTAAAAGATGAAATTTGAGAAGTCTAGTTTCATGATAAATTTTTAGATTATGGGTTTGATCTATAAATGTAAGCATGGAATTAATATAAGGAAATGTGACAAATCTGTGTCATAAACACCCTTGGAATTTTTAAGAATTATTTAAAA